ACACTTCATAAAAACTGCATCGATGCGAGTCTCTGCAGTAATCAACCTGTTTAAGTCAATGTAATGTGAATCGATATCAGCATCGATGCAATTAAATTTGATGACCAAATTGGTCGAGTGGTCGCCATTGGAGTTAGCGCAACGGTTAGATGTAATCTCCTCGGTTGATGGACAGATTATGGATTTTGATAGCATGTTTTTTTCATTAGACAAAACGATCCAGAAAAAAAGAGAACCTGGCCTGAACGAATTCAAACCGATTGAACAAGAACGAAGTGGCTTCATCCCATTTGAAATGCACACAATGTGTATTTTTTTCTCACAGACATACAAAAGAAGCTGCTGCTGCTGCTGCTGCTGGAACAACTCGTTAAAAATGAATGAATATATTTGAGTTGAGCTGTCGTTTTTTTGCTGTTCGCTTCGGGAAAAAGAGCATATGTTGTGATGATGATGATGATGATGATGATTGTATTCACAATCTTTGATTTCCTTCGGGCGTCTTGAATGAGGCTCTGAGCGTGACTAACACTTTTCAGGTTTGTTTTTCGTTGTTGTGCATTCGTTCCATTAAGCGCTCACTCGCACACTTCCCAACACAACTCGTTAGACATATGCCGTATGGCAGTTAACACAAAGTGATACTTGCTCGTCGATGTGTAAAATTCGAGGCAGAATTGTGTATAAAATAGACACCGAGCGAGATAGAGAGAGAGGGAGAGAGAGAGGAAAATGACACAGAACGAACAGAAATAGAATTAAATCACCAAACGAAATGAAATAAAATGGGGAAAAAAAGAAGAATTAGATTGTTAAACAAGAAATGAAAGAGTAACACACAACATTGAACCAGATTATCTATTGACGACCAGAAAGCACTTCCACATTACACACGTACGTTTCTGTCGCGCTCATTCGAAGCGGTGATTTGCGTATATTTTATTTATTTTTCTATAGAGAAATCCGAGTATAATTATTACATTATACAATTATCGACACACTCACACTCACCGAGACACCGCCAGTGTGTCGAAGAAGTGAGACTGGGTGCTGAATAGAAAAAAAAGAGCTGTATATTACCATGGCGCAGCCATCAGCGACCCAAGCAAACAAATCGTCGATGAGATATATTTGAAAATTGTGTACACACATCGTAGAGCCGATAATGGGTATACGATTTGACGCATTGCAAATTGATTTTCATGGCCTGTCAAATTGTCAGTACAACGACGCACACCGAGCATAAAATGTAACAAACGAGCTAACGGTGGCAAACAGCAGAGCAGAGACGAATGAAACGCATACAAAACAAAACTAGTTGATATATTTCTCCAATATTTCTTTCCTTTTTGATTATTATAACCTATTGAAGTTGGATCTGCATACCGGGGATAAACAGACACATCACACAGTGTTGTGTGCTTGTGTATTCGCATTTCATTTTGGTTGTGCACATCAAATGTGTCTCTATTTATGTCACGTTACTTGATGGCACATTCAAAATGACACATGAAAGACCCTTTGCACGGAGGAAGATAGAGAATAGTCACTCAACAAGCGCAATACTGAGCGCACATAGTTTAACTTGAATTGAATGGTTGCTGCGTGCTTTTTCAGTTGCTTCACAAATCATTGCATTCACAGATTCTTGTTTCCAATTTCCATCTTTGGCTCAAATGCTTTCAAAACATTCACGTTGCTGAAGAATAAATGCAAACGCACTTACAAAGCACACATGAGTGCCCGCGCGCGCACACAAACACTGAACCAAATAGAGAGAGCATGAGAGACGAACGTGAAGGAACGAGAGAAAATGGGAGGGAAGAATTACGTCAACTATCTTGTCAAGATACATATCGAATAAATATTTCATGAAAATTTCATTTAAAAATGAATATCAACAGCAAAATGTGGATGACACTTTACATTTTCATATATTTCCATTTGATAACGTGTTCGCATGGTGCTGTCATTGACTTACTCTCTCATATCATACCTTTTGCTATGTGTCGGTTCATTCGTTCATTCGTTCGCTTCGTTGCTTGCTGTTGCTCTGTCTGTCTGTCTCAGCACTTTATAGACCGAAAGCATTTTTGCACACAACTGACGACACATTGCATCGCCTTTTACGCCTCACTCTTTCTTCACTTCTCTGTGCTTGCTCTCTCTCTCTCTCTCTCTCTCTCTTTCGATCTGTCTCCCGATAAACTCCTAGGAAACCGATTACGGAACAAGAAATGTCAAATTCCTTTTCCCCACTTTTCAAATGTACGAAAATTGAGGAAGAATTTCTCAGTTGACTTGACATATTCGCCGAATATGAAATGGAATGGAAAGAAAAAGGGACGATAGTGCAACCCAGAGATGGAAAACCACACAAACATATTTTTATGACAGACGTTTAGGTTACTTCTTCGATTTTGTTTTTTTTTCTTAGCTCCGGACGTTGTTCTTGTACATACGGGAAATGCCAGTGGCAGCTTTTCCGATCGCATGGAATCATTTCAAATGTCTTATTTGGACAATTTTCAATTTAATTTTATTACCGTTTTAGCATTTTTGCTCATCACAAACATTGAACAGAGAGTGACACAGAGAGAAAAAAGCGAACCGAGTCATTGCCTTCTTTCCAACGCTTCACTCATTCTGATAGTTTGTCACATGAAATAATAATAAACAAACGCCTCTTGTTGCTTATACCCCAATGTCTTCACCTTTTCTAGCTAGAATGAAATAATCAAACAACAGAGCGAGGGAAAAAAACCGTAGAAGACTGTGACAGAAATTTTGAGTGCAGTTTGACATTTTTGATAGATCGTCATTTCAAGTATTTGTTTCAACGTTGTCAACTCGTTTTAATGGCAATGTTCTATCACGATTTTCTCTTTTTGAAAGACAATAAAAAATACTGAGTTGTGAAATTGATTGTTATCAGCCAATTTCAAAATTGAAAAGTTTAACGACATATCACATCTTTTGGAAGAACGTGGAGAAAAATCAATGCATTTCAAAATCGAAATGACGATTCAAAGCGAAAGTAATGCGTTACTTCAAGGTGAAACGAACATTTCGAGTAGGTTGCATTCGAAGGAGAAAAAACAATCAACGCTTTTACGTGTAGAAAAGGGTGATTTAACGTCTAAAGAAGGTGATAATGATTTCAAATTAAAAGCGTCCATTTCAACGTGATGCGAAAATATGATAACAAATTTCAGAAAAAAACATTCAATTTAATTCGTTCGATTTTTTTCAATGGATTTTTCTCATTCTCCATTCAGTTTGTTATCAAAAAAGCGCTTTCTTCATAATGAAAAGCAAGAAGCTGTTGACAGTCCCAATTTTTATTCGTTGGCTACTAGATTATAAAATTCATACGAATGTGAGAGAGGAAAAAAAACCGAAATGGAATGCATAATGCTTAATTCTATTCCCTTGGCATACATTTCCATAAATTATGGGCCTGCAGGTAGTTTGATAGCGGCGCATAGAACTGTCTTAAGGTGAGATATTTAGTTCTCCTGGTCTTCTGTGGATAAGAAACAAAAAGAAAAACAACAACGCCACGATGATTTGTACAGTATCTTTGCTATGGTATGTCAGACATTTCGAAACACCAGCCCAAATGAATATTTGCTGAGGATTAACATATTTAAAATTTTATGATACCCTTAATGTGTCACAAAAAGTAGATAATCCTGACTGTTTGGCAGTGGCATATAATTGGAAAACGCATATCCTTTTTCTTCCATTTAAAAAAACATTTTTTGCTTCAAAAATTGTCCTTGTACTTAGACCAAAATGAGCTCCTATTTACTTGCGACTTTTAACTATGACGAAATATAGGGTCTTCTTATATTGTTAAATGTGATTTCTGTTCAGAAGTTTGTGGAGAAAACAACAGTACGTTTCGAAAATGAACATTCTCTTCACAAAACCAACAGATCACAGCTTTTCATCTAAAATGAAAATAAAAACGATTTTTTGCTCTGTCACAAAATACCAACACTCAAATTTCTGGTTGAAAAAGCAGAACGGTTGTTATTCAATACAGTCAACAATTAAATCAGTTTCATTGGTGTCTTTATATTTATTTGTTTGTAATAATTCGTCCAAATTATAAGCCATTATGGCATTGCCTTATTTGTCAAAATACAGAATCTACAAATGTTACTAAAATCTTCTATTTTTACTATGATTTAATTTACATTCATGTATCTGTCTACTTTGTGTATAAAAAATGTCAATTATTGCTGCCCTGTGTGGAAATGTAGTACTGTCATGTTGAAAAAACGACCAACATTTGAGGTGACTGCTTTATTCATTTTATTGAAAAATTTAATCGCATCTAAATTAAGTTACAGTGGAGTCTCGATTATCCGTCGCTTCATTAACCGCCATCGTTCGCCGGCGGTCCGGTGCCTGACGGATAATCGAGACTCCACTGTTAATGAAAAATTTCCGCCGAAAATGAATACAATTAATGTGGTCGAATACTATTTCCCGACTGGGTAGAACATGAGTCTGTAAATAAGGCCTGTTCGGGATATATCATTCGGTATAAGTGGGTCGTCATGAAATTGGATGGTTATGCCATCCTTCATTTGGACTTCAGTTTTAAGTGGAACACCAATAGCGTAATTTTTTGGGGGATTTTGCTTGAATCGAATTTCGTATAAAAAGCCGGGGCGAATGAAAATCGGTTTAGACAGACAAACAATTTTACTTGTGTCTGTTTTGGACGAAGGTAAGTCTGCTTTTCCTTCATATAGTAGCGTCTCTGTTTTAGAATCTTCGGTACCATTCAATTCGACTATAGTTATTTCTGTGGCAACATTTTTACAGTCACAATATTTCGTGCCGTCTCGAATTTCCCAAATATAACAAAGATCAAATTGTTTGAGTAAAAGTGGTGTGTTGCTGGAAAATTTGGTTATTTCTAAATTTTTAAAAAAATATGGTGCATCTATCCTAAATTTAGAGAGTAATCGACTGGATCCAACCAAATCATTGTTGTCATTCCATGGAAACGAGTCACGTTTCATTGGCTTCAATCGCTTCGCTCGATTTCCGCTTAATTGATCCGGTGACAGCCCATTGTATGAAATCATTTGGAAAATTTCAGTATATTCACTGTGCGAGAAATAGTTCGAAATCATTTCATGAATATCCTTCAATAGTATTAATCCAAATCGAATTTCGTAGAACGACTCACCGAGTTTGGCTTCAACGATTTCCTTGGTTAAAACATCTTGTTTGCAAGCTATCTTTAACCAAGACAAACATGCCTCGAAGAGTTCGTTCTCTGTGCATTGCAACCAATTCAATTTCAAAATCTGAGCCATCGCCTTTTCGTTACAGGCAAAAAAAGCAGGCGACTTTAGCACAGTACTTGTGTTGAAGCCAATGATTGTTTCACAAGACCGTTTCAAATCTTCTTGATCGAAAAGAATCGCCAATTCATAGCTCGAGCAGACGTTGTCATAGTTGAGATTATTCTTCAAGAACTTGCTACAAACTGCTACACACTCGGACATATCATACATTTGACCGAAGTTCATCACTTGGCCGACATTTTCCTTGGTCAATTTGACACGGTCGAGATAAAAGAACTGAAGAAACTCCTTGAAAGCATCGGCTGACACATCGACAATCTTCACCTCTTTCAGTTCTTTCCATGTTCCATTGAACATCGTTCGAAAAACGTTGCTTGCGGCCATCAAGATAAATTTATGTGCTGGAATTCGTTCGCTTGATATATCATTTGAATCGAAGACGAAATGGACGTCCGCCATGTCCTCTTTCAAGCACAGCTTTTCTCCAATTCCAGAAAACGCTCGGCTTGGATAGTCGCTGGTGATCGGATTGTACACTGACATCGTAATTACTATGGGGGAATTGTTTCAATTGCGATGAAAATTCTGAAGAATAAAAAAAGTATATATAAAAGTCTTCTATACATGACTAATAGTCATTGACTATCAACAAGCAAAAAATGATACTTTTTAAGTTTTTCTACGACTTCAGCGGTATTTGAACAAGGTGTATCTTTTTATCGCCATGAAAATCAATTGTTTTACCTTAAGTAAAAGTGTTTTATAAAACGAACACAATATATGATGATCAATTGCTGACAACTGTAAGTTCAACTGATGTTATTTGTCAATTTATATAGGTTTAACTGTGTCAATTTTAAATGATCTGTACACTTCGACGTGTCTTTGAAAAGTGAATTTGTATCGATGAGCCAAAGCCCTTCAAGTTACTTTCTCAATCTGAGTCCTTCTTTGTACGTCTTTTGACAATCGAAACCATTAGGAAGGACCTTAATTATGCCAATGTTAACTTATTTGCCTACGTGACCCACACACAGTCATTTGGAAACTGCAGAAAAGACCGTTTTCGGCGAATCGAATTAACGTAAAAATAGATGTGGAATTTTCGACGAACAAAACTTTGTTCAACGGATTATTCACTATTTCTATTCATTTTATGACATGGTTTTTGCTAATGAGTATAAATATTCTGGTTGAAATGTACATACGATAGTAAAATGTTGATAGGATTCCAACTGTACATGTACACCCAGAACGCAAGACGAAGAATATTTGCTGGGCACTGGATTATAACATTCGAAGTTCATGATAGCCTTAATGTGTCACAAAAAGTAGATAATCCGGACTATTTGGCAGTGGCGTATAATCGTAAAACGCACATTCTTCTTGAATAATAAAAAATTGAAATTCAATAAATCTCTTAATTTTATTCATTATTTCGGTTTCATTCAGTGCTCGTGAATGCTTCTTAATAAGTGCAACAGCACTTTGTGTCAGCCTCTTTGTTCTCGGTAATTTTGTCGTTGGCTTTTTTTTTATGGCCGCACAACAATACGCGGCGCGAGAGGAACGAAAAACAGAAGAGATTTTCATAAATATTCATAAATTAAAATGTTCCAGGAAACTTTTCTGTATTCACATCATCGTCGTCGTGGATGAGACAGGCTGCGATTTAAGAGCTACGTTTTTTAACTTTCAGGTAGACACAGATATGAGCAAAACAAAAAAAAAACACAGTAAAATTTACGAGTTAATATTCTGTGTTGAGCACAATGAAAATAAAAAATGACGATGATTTTAAGGCGAGATAAATTTCGTGGTTGTTTTGATATAATTTCTTGTTGTTTATTTCTTTTTCGCTGTGTCGACCTTTTTTTAAAGGGAAATCACGTTTACCTTTTTTTTATACGAAACATGGATTACAGTTTATGAGTAATATTTTCATAAATAATCAGAAATGGCTTTTTTTGGCTTGGTACAATTTTGTTTACGAGAAATTATAGCGGAACTGTGACGTGTACATTGATATAGCGGGGATTCTGGCTACAGATTCAGTTAATTTTCACATTTTTTTCCCCTTCTTGGCAATGAATTTGGTTGATAAAACTGACCTCACACCATCCGTTCCAGGTTTCGTTTCGTTTTTCGGGAAACGATTGTATGCGTTGTAAATCACATGGAAAACAAATCAAGATCTCAAACATCCCTACTATCGACGCCATCGAATTGGAAAATGTACATTGCCAAGAGTGAAAAAAAGAGAGATGGAGAAGCAGAAAGAGACAGGCATGCTATCCACGTAATCAATCAGACAAGCACACCAATATACACGGTGAACGTGCCATCTAACCTACATATATCCAACGACCCAAAACTTTAGAGCACATCTAGAAAAAAAACACTCATCTAATTGTTGTTTGTGTTTAAAAGTGAATTTCGTCGTATTTTTCTCTTTTCTTTTCTTGTTGTCTCTCATTCCTCTCTTGACACTCTTTGTCTTTCTTGAAGCAGAAGAAAATTTATGTGCATTTGTTGTTTGATATCTTGAAATAGATATATTAAGTATAAATTTTCTGGTAAATAGATATAGAGACAAGCGCATGCAGGAGACATGCCGTGTCACCATATCGAACATTCAAACAGGCGATAAATTCTATTTGGTGTTTTCTTTTCTGCTTCGTTGTTGTCGTTGTTTTTTTCTATTTGCTTGGAAATATAAATTTAATTCTATTTCGTGTTCGTAGCGTTTTGCTTCGGGTGTTCGGGGCCAGGACCAACCGGGATAAGTGCTATTATTTGATTTAGAATGTTGTAGCAATAAATTGATATCGCTTGTGTGTGACTGTCGACGGTAATGAAATGGTTGAAATAGGAAATCTGCTTGTCGGACACGAACAAATGTGTGTTTTGTGTGGAAGTCACGGCGAGTGAAGAGAAAGAGGAATGAAGCCATCGTCGTCGAGTGACGAGGAAAGACGATTATTTCGTCGAAAACGCACCAACTTTTAAATCTCTAAAGTGTTACGATTGGCCGACAACGACAACAACGACGACGTGCCACATACGTTACTCACCGTGTGCGCTCGTTCGCTTCGCTTCCCATTCATTCACTGTTCGGCTGCGATTGCCATTCAATTCAATTGTTGTTTGTTGTTGTTGTTTTGTCATTTTCCTTCGTTGAGAGGAAAATTTATGGCAAAAGTGAAAGATTTATAGGTTTTAGGGCAATGGGTCTACTTTTGTTTTCACTTTTTTTCCTTCTCTGTTGTTGTTGTTGTTGTTTCATTCCACTGTTGCCATTGTTCATCGCGTTGTGTTCTGTCTGTTGAAAATTTGTTGCTTTTTTATTATCATTTTGATAAAGCTGCTTCATTCTTTTTTCGTTCGTTCTTTTTTTTTATTTATATACAAAGGGGAAGTGCTACATCTTTCTCTGATTATGTGTTTGAAAGTTCTAAATGATAAGGAACAAAAGCAAAAACAAAATGTTCATCAAGATATGGTGAATTCGTCGTTGATTTATCAGATTTTCGATTCAAACAAAACAAAATTAATGGCATTGGGCCTGAGCCTGAGTCGGAGTTGAAGGGAAAATGGAAGCGATTTCGTTGGTGTTGTGATGTGAATCATGAATTTACACCGAGTGTTTGATTCAAGACATTAAATGTGTCATCTGTCTAATTCGCTTCACTACCTGATAAATTGCATTTGGCATTTGAGGTGTTGGGCTAGCTTACCTTTCGACCACCCGATTCAACTAACTAATTTTCTCTTATCAAAATTTCGGTGACACACCATTGAATCACTCCCGCTGTATTCGATCGTATTCATCGAACGCCGCCGTTCAAGGTTGAAACAAATCTATTCTCAATCTCTTAAGTCATTGAATTCGTTAGACTCTCATACAACGGTTCAAGGGTACACATAACCACAAGAAAGAGAACCATTGATGATTTTCTGGTTTGCAACAACTTTGACTGATAAATTATTTAACGAAAAAGAAAACCATATAAAAATGTCATGGCATTCAATTCAGGTCGTGTTTCATCCGTTAAATTTGTGCTACCGCTTTTCGCATCGTTGCACTCTATCTCTTTGCCGTAAGAGTGAGCAAATTAAAAGCATGTTAGCGTTCTTCGGTCAATGCGAGAAGTGGCCAAACGAGAAAATTGCTTGCCACAAACGAAACGATGAACGAATGAGAGAAGAAGAAAAAAAAACATAACCACACCGAACCGTGTACGTAATGTATATGTATGCCCATCAATTGGTTTGTGTGATCTAATTTATGACGCGTTCTTGTCAAAGTGATGTATATCCTGTCTAAACAGCAGAAGATTGATGACATTGGCTGTCACTTTGCTTCATTCTCATTTCTGCGTGCTCATTGTATACGTGTCGAGAGATGCGTGTGTAGTATGATGGGTATGGTATAATAAATATAGGGTAAGTACACTGTTGATGCATACCGAAACATTACGTATACGGAATGTATTCCGAAAATTCCATGCCAAATTGCCAGAGGTTGATTCACTTCACTCCATTTTACTCTCACAATCGCACACTCTGGTGCGATCTGTGTGTCTCTCTTCATCTCGCACGATATGTCTTCCTGCATTCGTCGAACACAATGGATCTTGAAAATATTTTTTATAATGATAGCGTAGAAAATCGCTACGTGCAAAGTAATATTGATGAGAAAAACGCACATTTTCAATTCATCGTGTCGCGCTTTTTTTTCTGCTTTTGCTTTGCTTTGTGTCCTTGTTACCATTCAGTGCGCATTGCTAACGAGATATTTGGTTGCTTTGTTTTGCTTCGCATCCGCTTTGGTGCGTTTTTTTTTCATTTTTAAGGATCCACCTAAATGACAGTTAACCAACTTTGGCCGTGTGTTGACTTTTCATGATTCATCAAAAAACGAATTGTTTGAAGAATAATATATTTGCCGCTGACATGCATTCGCCATCACACTCATTTACGCAAGCATTTTCAAGTGTGAAAAAGGTTCGGAAATGTCGAAAAAGTTTGATGTACGCGAAAAAAAATTCAGAAGTTCGGCAGTCACTACCGAACAAAATTAAATGTTATTTAAAACGAATTATGTAATTAGATGAATCGAAAATAATAATTAATCATTGTGAGGCGAGGCGACGACGATGTTGATGATGTGGAATCGGAAATGCATGCCACGTCATGACAAGAAGCCAGCCAAGAGGGGGAAAAAAAGAACGATGAAATGTGAATTTCGAGATAATGATGTGGTGGAAAGAAAATGATGGTAATTTTCAGTGGTTTTGCAGCTGAAGCACTAATTTTTGCGCGTAGTCATTTATTTGTGTCGGTCATTCAACAAT